CAATGTAGCGCTCAAACTAATTTCTGTTGCTATTTTCGTCAAATCTTAATATACGCGACACACATGAACCTGACAGAAACAACAGTGGAAGTAAACATGAGTGTCACATTGCACCTATTTTATGACATTAATGGTGAAATGAAAAAATATTAATCTTTGAGGGTATAAATTAAATTTTTTAAAATATTTTGTATGCAAAATGTCATTTCCCCCCCCCCCCCCCCTTTTTTTTTTTTGTTTACCCTTTTTGGTGATTCTTGGGCATTATGGAAACTTGTAATTGTTGGGCATGCTTGTTTTCTTAAAGCAAATATACTGCTGCATACGAATAAGGAATTAAATTTCATTTTAAGAGAGTCCAAACATTTCCGTTTTGATGGAAATCAAAACGATCCATTAATTAAATATTAAAATTCTTATATTTTGAGATTTTTTGAGGTATTTCGATATATTTCGACTAATGATTTGGTAATAAATTTTCAATTTTTTTTTCATCTTATTTCTAATATGTTTTCGAAACATTACCGAAACGTTTTTATTTTCAAACATAGGAAATTTTGATCCTTAGACACAAATTACTTGATGCTCAATTTATTGAGACCAACTTCATTGAATTCTTGAGAAAATCATTTTTCCATTTTAGCCAAGTTAACCCACTCGGCTGGGCTGAGTTGGCCACCCTTCATTTTCTCTCCAGATTCAGCGAACCAAGCCAATGAAGTGGTCAGGTCCAATGGCTAAGGATAAAAATATAATTTCGAATGACTGAAACGTTTTCGTTTCTAAGGAGATGAAAATGAAGAATCGAAATTTTAATATTTTGAGGTATTTCGGATTCGGAATGTTTTGAGTTGTTTTGAGATATTTTAGAATGTTTCCACTTATATTTTGGAATGTTTCGAAGTGTTTCAAGATGTTTAAATATATTTATATTTAAACCAATACTTTGAAATGTCTTGAAAATAAATCCCTAAATTTTTTTATCGGTTTCAATTATGTTTCCAAAACATTTATAAAAAGTTTATTTTTTTTAGGTGACCGCGTCAAAATGATGTTTTAATCCTTGCCAATAGTAATGTTTGATTTCTTGTGTCTCCCTCTTTAGGGGCTCTATTGTGATCTCTTTCGAGTTTTTCTTCACTCCTTTGGATTTTTCTCTTCTATTATAAATGCGCTATTCAAAAATCGTAATAGTTGATTCTTTATTGACAAAGAAAGAAAAATTGTTGATTCAATATGACCTTCTAAAGAACCCTTTGTTTGTTTGTTATTACTTTCCTAATCAGTGAGCATTGCAAAGCATAGCACTATAATTCAATAAAAAAATAAGTGCAGACACGTTCTGATTATTGCTTTGTATTTGATTCTATAATGATAATTATTTCAAAACAATTTAGGTGGATATGTGGATGCTTAACTATGTTTTCTATTTTCATGATATCTAGTTCTTGAAGCACAAGCATCAAGACGCACTTTTTGAGGCCTTGCAAAAATTAAAAGAAGGTTCGTAATTGATATATGCCTTATATTTTGGTCTCCCATGTCTGTTTTGTTTCAAGTTTTAATGCAATACTCTTTCATGATTGATAGTGTCCATGCTACTTGCTTGCAACTAGGTGCTTCTAGTCATTTTACACATGCCCATGGATTTTGCCTATACATCCAAGCTGCTTTTTAAGTTTATTTATGTTTAAAAACGGAAGAAAATTCTAAGCATTATGTGATAGAATCAATGGGACTGCTGGAAATTACTTAAATAAAGCAGTTGCACTTTCAAAACAAATCTTGAATGTTTGGTTTATTATAAGAAAATGATATCTGAATAGACTACTCACAGTTCTTCCATTTCCCCCCCCCCCCCCTGTTTTTCCTTCCAGAACTGATGCTTTTGGGATTCATTTCCCTTCTTTTAACGGTCTTTCAAAGTATTATAAGTGACATATGCATCCCTACTGCTGTTGCATCTTCCATGCTTCCATGCAAGATGGAATCTGTTTCTCATCAGACTACGAAAAATGGAAGGAGACTTTTATCTGAAAATATTGCTTCACAACGTTGTGCACATAAGGTAAATATTTGTTGAAATATTTCAGTAGCTTTTTTTCTCTTCAACTAATTCAGTACTTAAATGTAGAAGTTTTCCCCTCCCCTCTTCCCTCGACTTTTGTCACCATACTGTTGTAGTGTCAATTTCACACCACTTTATCAACGTGTTATGGGTAAAAGTGCGTGCAAGTGTGACTTGTTATCCATCCACTACTTAAACATTTAGATTTACTAATTTACTGTGTCCTGCTCCCTTTATTGATCAACTTTGAAGAAAGGGATTGATTTACCTATTATTTGTTTGTTGCTAGCTCTTGTGGAAAGAGGAAAGAAATGATCATATGCGACCATCAATGGCTAAGTTATGATTTGTTTACACAAGATTGAAATGATCAAGATTTTAGCAGATCGATAATTAAGCAACACATTAATAACATAGCCTAGTTGGAGAAGGAAGCTGTTACAAGGTTGCCAACCTGAGTTTGAGCTTAGTCCTCCTCCCCATGTATAGAACTCCTTACAAGTATCAAACAGCAAAAGAAAAATTCAACCCGCACATTATATGGCTGGCAAAAGAAAACGAATTATGACAGGACATAAGAGAAAAATTTTGTGGTTTATAACTCAGCACCAATACAACGCAAGGAGTCTTGTCCTGACTGTTGGAGTCCTTCGCACCAAACGAGCATTACGTTACTACACATGTATATCATAATACTTTTTAATCATACTCTGATTATATTACATTAGCTAACAGTTACATATTGTTCTTTTCCAATTCAATAGGGAAAGGTTCCTTTGTTATCAATAGAAGCACTACATCAGCTCCACATTTTCATCTTTGTAATGGCAGTTGTTCATGCAATCTTCTGTGCCACTACCATGGTTCTTGGAGGGGCTAAGGTAATGTATCTGTGCCTCCACTATGAAAACTGTTGCGTAATATATAATTAAATTGAATTTCTAACTGAGAACCTGTCAATATAGCTTATTATAAACTCTTGTTTTCATTGAAAATTAACAAGCTGCAGAGTGACCTGGTGATCATTCCCTATGAATCTTTATGAAAGAATTATCAGCCCATAAAGATCTACTTGGATGTTTGACCAGACTAATAAAGATCCATACGTTTGAGATTTACTTATGGGAGATTCCTTGAGCTCACTGGCTCTTGTTTTTCTTTCAACGTTTTTAATATTCTGTTGCATACAGTGATACTGTCCACTATTTTTGCATCTCAACTCTACAAGTTATCAATTTCACCTTACGTGTAGATACGCCATTGGAAGAACTGGGAGGATTCCATTAGGAATGAGTTATCAAAACCACAAGAAGGTACGCATTTTTGCTTGTTTATTAATATATGGCAAAACTTTTGTGTACTGTTTATGAAAAATGGAACATTAATTTAAATGAAGTCCTTTGGTTTCTTTTGGGCAATTATATGATCATCTTGTGTGTAGCTCGTACCCCTCACTTGCAACATCATCGAATATTCAGCGAACGTGCTGGTTTATACTGGCGAAGGTCGGCTGTTGTCAGTTGGTTGGTGAGTTTTCTTACCTAAGTTGATTACACTGAAATTCTTTTCCTGCAGAATTTTATACCATAAGTACACTGCACTCTGATGTAAAAGAATCATCATCAGTCCAACACTGCAATGTACTTCATCTAGGGAAATAACATCATATCTGTACACCTCTTTGGTCTCTTAAGGAAAAATGCTAAAACAAATCACTACCTTGCTAGGAGTGCACACATATTTACAGCCATGATTTAAAATTTTGGATTGTTCCATTCAAAGGTTAGTCTGCACAAGGCATTGGAGTTTTTTCATCTGATTTACCAAATAACTAGGCATAAGAATTACAAAAAGATCAAATCCTTTAACTTTACTTGTTTGGGTATGTATCTTCCGAAATGACTATTTATTGAAGTGTCATTGTAACTTCTGAATCATGGTACCAACAGCCTCGGGTTAAGTTCTGGTTTGTTAATGTTTTTATTGAACATTTGCATCTTTTTGATATTAGATAATAGATAAGTTGGATAGAATAATGTGAAATCAGATAGAACGTGGTATGATTGAGAAATCATTCAGAACAATTTTTTTTATATTTGAATGTTTATTTTCATGATTAATTACCTGGTTTTCTATTTGCTAGCAGACAAAAATTTGACTTACGGGATGGCCTCTTCTCCACTGTGGTGATATGGTTTTTCCGTGCTCTGATTTGCAACTTTCTCTAATGCTTTTCTGTAGATATCATTCCTCAAACAGTTTTATGGCTCAGTTACCAAGTCAGACTACATTGCTCTACGATCAGGATTTATACGAGTATTGCTCCAATAACTAGTCATTATTATTGGTCAGGCATTTCCATTGATGGTCTGTTTCCTATGATTTTGGTAAATTAATGTATGTTCTTTACGTGTTTTCTTTATGTTAAGGCCCATATTCCTTCGAATCCAGAATTTGACTTTCACAAGTACATGGTGCGGACACTAGCAGTGGATTTTAAAAAGATTGTCGGAATAAGGTAAAACCAGTAAATTTTTGGTTGGTAAACAATACTCTTCTATCTAACAGAATTTTATGCCAAGTTTTGTTACCTTAACTTCAACAGCTGGTACTTGTGGCTCTTTGTAGTAGCCTTTTTGCTGTTGAACATAGAAGGTAATTTCATTTCCTCATGGTTGTGCACTTCATTCATTTTATGATGGATTTCTAACACCTCCATGAATGGATTGAAAGTGCAGGATGGCACACCTATTTTTGGTTATCATTTGTACCCTTACTTGTAAGTGGATAATCTTTCATTCAATATAACTTGGTGCCTGATTTATTTTGAAAATGACATAGTTGTGTGAATTGGGTGGATGGCAGCTTCTACTTCTTGTGGGTGCTAAATTAGAACATATAATTACCCACCTGGCTGAAGAGGCTGCGTTGAAAAGAATGGGACCCTGATGCAACCCTGTCAAGCCTTCTGATGAACTCTTTTGGTTTCATCGCCCTGCCATTGTTCTCTACTTGATTCATTTCATTTTATTTCAAAATGCATTTGAGATTGCATTCTTCTTTTGGATTTGGGTAAGCAGATGGATATTATATTTTCAGTGAATCCACTACCATTCCATAGGACAAGTGCAATTGCACTGATGATAACCTTTGCAATTACCATACAGAGCACGTATGGATTTGATTCATGCATTATGGAAAAACTAGGCTACATCATCCCAAGACTTTTTATGGGGTAATTTCTAAAAAGCAAAAAATAACCGAGTTGTTGATTTGCTTGTATAGCTCAGACTACCTACTCATTTTCACTACATTACTTGTGCAGGGTGGTTGTTCAGGTTCTTTGCAGTTACAGCACGTTACCACTGTATGCTCTTGTCACCCAGGTAAGACAATCTAGACATGTTAACATGTAGGATCGATCTGCATTCTGCACTCTTTTTTTATCAAGATTTACGTGCTTAATTAGTTTTTAATTTTTCACTTCTTGGATGCAGATGGGTAGCATGTTCAAAGAAGGCATATTCAATGAGTTTACACATGGACTTATCCTGGACTGGAGAAGAGGAACAAGAACTGGTCCGTCAAACACCATCAGAAATGAGCCGAGTAGAATGGCCAAAGAATCATTTGAAAGCGTTTGTATTGCTGAACAATCAGTTGTGGTTGATGAGGGATATTCGACATTAATGGTTGGGTTTTCTTCTCCTAACCAAACAGAAACATCATCTGTTGAGTTTGTCCATTGAAGACTTGCTGTGTGACCATTTGGTTCTCTTAGAAATTGATGCCGTTTACGTATGTAAGCAAATTGTAATATTATTGGTGATGAACAAACACAAGTAATAAGATATTAAATTTCATTATCATTAGCGTAAAATACGGAGTAAAGTCGAACCAACATTTGAATTATGCTTATGATGTTCTAATTCAAATTGATCCCTTCGCGTTCAAAAGAAAAAATTTTGTATCAGTCGAGAAAATGTAGTAATCTCTTTAGCGATACCTCACAAAAATCTGTGCTGGAATATTGGCTTTTGAATGCATAACGTTCTGATTCAAAATGCTGTTAAAGGTCTTATTTGCTCCAAGTAGACTGGAGAGGTAAAATAGTATAATATGCAGGACATCACTGTTGGGCAAAAATATGAATATTTTGTCAAATATAACTTCACTCATATAACGTGGAATTATACTGAGTTTTATTAAATATAGGTTTGGCCCATTCCAAATAGCATATATCTGTTAACTATTATCTCTTACTTCAAGAGAACACCATTTAATTCAAAAGAGATGTTATCACATGTTATCATTTACATCACAAAGGGCATTTTATTTGTAATGGTGGCTGGACCTAGGTTAATTGTCTAGGCTCCTCTACGTACCCGTATTGGGATCAAGCCGATTTATAGTTCGGGGAGATTAAATTATTATTATTATTTGGGTAAGATCAATGGGTAAATGACTCATCGATTTTGAATAGATAAATATCCATCATGTTTGAAAATGGATAAATGACCCTTTGAACCCATTTGGTTTATAAGAAAAATTTTAGGATTTGTGACTGTGCTTAATTTAACTAGACTGTCTACGTATCCGAAAGATAATCAAGTCAGTTGTAGTTCATGATAAGAATTTGGAATTTATTTGAAGTTAATTTGGACTTGCGATTACGCCTAATTTAACTAGACTGCCTAAGTATCCGAAAGGGAATCAAGTTAAACGTAATTCGGAGAAGAATTTATTTAAGAATGCAACTGTGCCCAATGTAGATACTAGACTGCCTACATATCCAAAAATAGAATCAAGTCGGACATAGTTTGGATGTTAAGAATTCAATTAAAAGTGATTTGGAATTACGACTGTGCTCAGGCTAGTTGTTAGACTGCCTATATATCTAAAAATGGAATTAAGTCGGACATAGTTCAAAAAATAATTTTGAATTTGAGTAGGTTTGAAATGAGTGAATGCCTCGTTTAATTTGATTTGAAATGAGTGAATGACTCATTTGATTTGAATGAAGTTGTATTTGACAACTTTGATTTGTGTAAATTTTAGGTTTCACATAGAGTGTGACTTGATGAAACTAAATTCCATATAAAATTAGTGACTTTTTGTAAGTTAGAAACTCAAAAATATATTAAGAGTCCAAGACTCTTTTTATAAAGAATCATTGTGGAGTTTAAAACTCCAAAATTTAGTAAAGAGTTTGAAATTCTTTAATTTATTTTTTGCACTATTTAATTTAAAGAAGTTTGAAACTCACAAAAAAAATAGTGAAAGATTTAAATGGCTAAATTGTCACTTAAAGGGAGTCATAGACTCCATGTCAATTTAGACAAATTATAAACTCTTTTAAATTAAATTTTTTTGTCTATTAACAAGTCTTTTTATGGGCTGCGCCCATAGGATTTGCCGAGAGAAGTTGTGAACCAATATTAAAGAATCCATGATTCTTAGCAGTGAGCAAATATGAAGTTAGAACTCAAAAGAGGATTTGTTTGGGCAGCAATCTAGTAGCCGCTCAAATATTTGAGGGAGTCGAAGGCTCCAGTTTTTTTTTAGGAGAAACTCCAAGCCCTTTTAGAAGTTAGAAACACCATTAATTCATAACAAATGTAGTGTAACATTATTTTACGAACTTGAGAGTCTAAGACTCTTTGTTAGTTTTGTTGAGAATGAATTCAAAGCTCTTACGCCATTTTTAGTTGTTGTTGTACCAGAAACTTCCACCACAATAGCTCCACAACAACGTGCAACGCCTTAATTTTTTTTTTTTTTTTTTTGCAGCAAATGCAGAATTTTTATATTGTATGCGCCCTGAACAACTACATGAAATTTTGATGGGTTAAGAAAAATCCAAAGCTTCCGCTGGTGAGTTTTAAACTCCATAATTTGTTACTTGAGACCAAAAGGGGAGTTGGAAACTCCCTTCGAAAGAACTAGTGGACTACAATACTTCAAAGAGTGTAAAATTCTTGCATTTTTGTGACTGAAAAAGCTTTAGTAATTAGAAACTCATTGACTTGATCATGGGGAGAATCTGAATTTTTTTTATGATTGCAATGGGTTTCGAATTGAGCCAGGTGGGAGCTAAAAAAAGAAAACTCTTTTTAATTGATGCAATTTTTTGAAGAGCCAAAACTCTTAATTTCTATAAATTTTTGTAGGAGTTAAAAACTCTGTGCTGCTTTAAAATGGTATTTGAAAGACAAAAACAGAATTTTTTTTTAAAATGGTGTTTAAAAGACTTGAAGTCATTGCCATTTTTTTAAGGGTTTGCTGCAAAAAGTCAGCAACAAGCCAAATGGGAGTATAAAACTCCACTAAACCAAAGACTCAACCAGAGACCAAAAATCTAATTCAAGATAATTTTGAGCAATTTGAAATTTCTCTAAATTACATAGAAAGATGGGACTTGTACACCATATTGTGATTTTGAAAGAGTTAGAGACTCTTGTGGATGAAAGTTTTTTTCTGTGTAGGTGCATGGACTACACACCGGGGATCTTTACTAACGCCATGGAACATCATTTGGTAAAACTTGAAATACGCCAAGATGTGGATATTTTTTTTTCTGGGTATTGCAGCAAGATTTGGAGGAGTTATAAACTCCTTTGGTCTTTCATTTGAAGAGAATTCTGCTGCCACTCACTTTTTCTGGTTTCTTTTTCTTTCTTCTAACCATCAAGACTCTTGTTAGTTTGAACAGATGGTGAAGCTCCTGATAATTTCTTAAAAAAAAACATATGAAACACTTGGTGGTAGTTTCGTCGCAAGGCATTGAAGGAGTTAAAAACCCCTGTAAGGGGTAGAACCCTCCACTCAGGATTTCGGCTTGACCTGGGTTAACCCACGCGGGCGACCCCCCAATAGCCTTTACCTCTCTTCGCCAATAGGACCCTTTCCTAAGGCAATCCCACATCGGAAGAGAGTCGTCTTCCCCCCTCGCATATAAGCCCTTGCACTCAAAGGAGGAGGTACCCACTAGCGACCTGATCAGGTGCCTAGTGGGTACCTCCTCCTTTGAGTGCAAGGGCTTATATGCGAGGGGGGAAGACGACTCTCTTCCGATGTGGGATTGCCTTAGGAAAGGGTCCTATTGGCGAAGAGAGGTAAAGGCTACTGGGGGGTCGCCCGCGTGGGTTAACCCAGGTCAAGCCGAAATCCTGAGTGGAGGGTTCTACCCCTTACGTCCCCCCTCGCATATAAGCCCTTGCACTCAAAGGAGGAGGTACCCAAGACGACTCTCTTCCGATGTGGGATTGCCTTAGGAAAGGGTCCTATTGGCGAAGAGAGGTAAAGGCTACTGGGGGTCGCCCGCGTGGGTTAACCCAGGTCAAGCCGAAATCCTGAGTAGAGGGTTCTACCCCTTACAACCCCTATAATCTGCAACTTTGGAGGATCGGTATCGCCATAATTGTTCCAGATTGCTATGGTTTTTCACTGAGTTGCTGCTATCAAAGATTGAAAAGATTAAATCAACAAGGAAAAGAGTAAACAGATTTTTTTTTTCCTGTTGCAAAGCTTCAGAATTTTTTTTCTTTGCCTTTCTTCCATCTCCTCTCTCTACCGAAATTTCCCTTTCTCCTCTGCTCCCTGTTTTTTTTTTTCTTTTCTCCTCCTTTGTTTTTTTCACCGTCTAAACTCCTCATTGCATTTATAGGGGATTTGCTTGGCAGTTTTTTTTTCTTTTGCATATAAGGGCAGCCTGCCTTTGATTAAAGCAGACAGCACAGTCCACATCCTTTTCTAATGACGAGCTTTGGGTTTGTGGGTCTCCCACTCACTCCACACTTCTTTGATGAGCAGGTTTATCTTGAAGAAATTGTTAGAATCTAGAGGACTATCATACACTCACTTAAAAAAATATAATGGAAGAGACTATTGAAGATTGTAAGAATACTTTTATTCACTTATATCCAAATGGGTATATTACATAGGATATATATAGACTCTCATGACATACAAAATAACCCCACTACATAATGTAGTAATGAAAATAATAAAGACTCTACTCCTCCATTACTTAAAAAATTAAAATACCACAATTATTTTGTTTCACGCTAATATCAAATTGATGATCCACAAATACAAAAAACTAAATACATAAAAATAACTCTTAAAACATAAAAAGTCATGTTTAATATTATTTTTCCAACATAAACTACCCATAACCACCGCTAGTGGGAGGATAACCAAGGGACGTGTTTGGCACATGTCTTCATGCTTTAATTTTCAAAATTAATCACTTAACCGATTTTAATTTTTTTTTTTTTTAATAACGGGGATCCACCAAATAAAAATTAATTTTAACCATGACTATGAGAACAAATCTAGGATGTAAGAAATGAGTTTGGAGACTCTTCCTGTAATGCAAATTTATATAAATAGCTTATGGAAAACAAATCATGCATTTATCACCAACCTTCATTATTAATAATAACTTTTTTACCCTTCAACAATCACTTGAGATGTCATGAGACTAAAAGTACACACAAACAACTTAAACTACACCCTTTCAAAATACAACAAAGAAGAACACCTTTTCTAGAATAAAAAACATATAGGGCAGCCATGTTTATCCATTCTAGCTCCAGAGACTACCAGATATCTCACAAATCCTGTGTTGTTGGCCAAGATAACTTTTTTCCCCATGTAAAATCTATTGGGACCTAGTTATTAGTTTTCTTGGAGTAGAAACTAATCTAAACCATGTCATTTTCTTGGGCCCCTTATCTACATGACACTTCCAGAGCCCAACAAACTAGATCAAAACAGTAAACTGGACAAGAAAAAGGAAAAGATGGCGGGAATATACTTTGCTAACAATGTATGCAAACTATGTACGAAACTTGGCCAACTTGTTTCTTTAACTCTATTATATTCCCTGCATTAGCTTTTCTGTATATAGATTATGCCATGATGACAGTCTCTCTACTTCCCTTTCATAAAATCATTTCACCTTCACCTTTTTCTTTTTTGTTTGATTTGAATCATTTAAGTTCGGTTGCATAAGCAGATTTCATTAACTGTGTAAATGGAGGAGCAATCCCTTTCTTTGGAGTATACACCAGCATGGATTGTCGCCATTGTCTGTTTCATCATTGTCCTCATATCTTTTTTCGCTGAGCGAGGCCTTCACCATCTTGGAATGGTATCCAATTTTGCTTGTCCTCCTAGCATCAGTTGTCCTCACATCTTGTTCTCAGCATATATTTGCCTCTTGTTTTTCCAAGCTGCTTAACTTCCCATATGTTTTGAAAACTCAAATCACAGAGTAGATGAAATTTAATAGAATGTTTAACCAAGGTAATTATAGATTCAAATAAGGTGGTCTTTAACCTTTTGTTGTTTGGTTTGGTCCCAGTTCAAAAAAAAAAACCTTTTGTTATTTGGTCAGTATCCTATTTTATATTGTCAAACAATAATTCTAGTTATAGCATATGGTTATATGCTGGTAGTAAAATTTACGTTAGGGTGATGGCAACGTTGTTAAACTGAATAGAAGTGTCCCATTGCTTTACTGTGTTTTTGTTACTGTGTACAGTGCTTGAAGAATAAAGAGGAGAAACTATATCAAGCCTTGCAGAGACTAAAAGAAGGTATATTACATGTATTTCTTCATTTTTTCTTTTCTACAAGATGTGCTTCAATATAAGATTTAATGCACAGAACTGCTATTAGCAACATGAAACTAGTAATTTTAGATAATTTCTGGGGTATTACTAATAGAAAATCACTATGTGATTGCTTCAAACAATTTTTCTAACTCCTTGTCTCCCCTTTAAAGAATCTATAGCCTGTAGAGTTCATGGCCAGAACAAGGAGTGGAGGAAGATCATAGTGCTGTGTTTTTTCTGTGGACTTTAGATCATAGCCTATTCTATCAAATAAAGCAGCAATAGAACATTAAAACTACAAATTCAAAAGATTGAAAATGTAATCCTTTATCCCCCGGCTATGGCACATCCTCTCTTTTCTTTTCTTTTTTTTTTTGTCCCCTGGTAACTCACTGGAATTCAGAGCATCCGCAGACAACATTTTATCCCTGGCTTTCATGTAGTAGACCAAGAGGTTGTTTCTCATCACACTTTCCTTGTTATCTAGTTGTTGGTGTAAAATGTATTTGAAGACAACTTCAGAACAATGATTTAAGTAAACTAGTATAAAGTTGTTGCAGATATTCACCAAGCAGATGCTGTATTGGTCCCTTGAGTTTTTGAAATTTTATTTATCCAAGAATAATAATAATTGTTCGTGCATTTCATTTCTTTTGTACCAGAATTGATGCTTTTGGGATTTATTTCCCTTCTTTTGGGGGCCCTCCAAGGTGCAATAAGCCACCTTTGCATCCCCTCTCATTTTGCTTCTTTCATGCTTCCATGTGCAAGAGGTCATAATATCAACCTCCATGAACAATTTTCTCAGCATACCGTATTAACAAACAGGCAGCGGCGTTTGAATACAGATGTTAATGATTCAGAACATTGTGCGCGTCAGGTATATACATCTATGTTGGTTTTCTTTTTTCTTTTTGATAAGAAACAACTTCTTAATAATAAGGTGAAAAGATTACCAAGGGTGAACCAGCAAATTCACCAATAGAGGAAAAAAAACTAAATTAAATGGAAATTATAATGCAATAAAAGCTAAGACCATTAACAATAATCCTCTAACTACATGCTGCGATCCAATCTATACTAAGGGAAAAGAATGGCACATCCTTAAATTCTTTAGATACCAACACCCAAAGGGAGGCCAAGAACAATACTTTGTCCCATAAAAACTCGGTGTATTCTACCGTTCCCTCGAAAATTCTTCTATTCCTTGCCATCCATACCACCTAAATAATTGTCTTTAATCTCAAATAAAGAAGCACAAGCTCGTGGAGTTACAAACTCAAGGTAAGCTCTACATATGGTTTATGCCACAATTTCAAGGCCACAGGACAATGGATAAAAAGGTGATCCAAACTTTCACATAATGCTCTATTGATGTGAAAGACATGTATTCAATCTTCTCTTTTGCAATAAATCACATGAATTAATCTTATCTTGAGCCACAGTCTAAGCAAACACTTGCACCTTAATATGTGCACTTTGGCCTTCCAAATTATCCAATGGGGTCCAAAAATTGGAAAAGATGGGTCATCAATCATTTCAAGGAAATAAGATTTTCAGGAAAAAAACAATAGAAGGCTCAATGACCCACAACCTCTTGTTATCCAATCCCAGCATAAGTGAGACTGTTTGGTTTTCTCATCACCTCCAGCAATACTAACAACTTGAACTGGTATGCATGTGTGACAATGGTCTAGTACCTCTATCCATTTAATTTCTATTGTTTCGTGTTTGATGGAAAGAAATCTGATGGTGGAACCCGTGCGTAGCGAATTGCTGTCTTACTCAGGGTAACAGTAATCAGAATTGGAGGCACTTTATCAGGGTATCAGAAAAACTTGTTATACTCCACACCAATTTGAAATAGAAAGGGCATTCATGTTTCTTGACACAAAAGTATTAGGCTCATTGTCAACATACTAACATTAAATTTCGTCCCTTTTTTATTTGCCCAGGGAAAGGTTCCATTGCTATCAAGGAAAGCATTAGATGACATGCACATATTTGTTTTTGTATTGGCACTTGTTCATGTGGTCTTTTGTGCGACCACCATGGTTCTTGGAGGAGCAAAGGTAATGTATCTATGTTGTCAAACTTCTTTCACTATGATTAAATAGGATTCCTCCAAGGTACTTGTCATTTCCTAATTTATCATGGAAATTCATTAAATGTGTGGGACACAAAAGCATGTTACAATGCTGATGAGAAAAGTATCATCCACATAGACACACAAGCATGCTTATTGAGGTTGAATATTCATCTATATTTTCGGGATCCTTGTGTGGCATGTTTTTTGAGGTTTCTATAGTGTTTTTTGTGTACATGCTTTTAAGGGACATAATGTCCTTAAAGTTTGAATTTGAAGTTGATTTAATGTCTTCCATATCTAGATACGTCAGTGGAAGAACTGGGAGGATGCCATCAGGAGTAAAATATCACAAGATGGGCAACTTCAGCGTTAGTATTGTGGCAAAATATTGCTTTAATAAAAATAGTATGATTTAAGTGAAGTACTTTGGTTTCTTTGAGCTAATTTTATGAAATTAATCTTGTGTAGTTCCCGACGTTCATCATCACCATCACCATCGCCATCACCAAATCTTCAAGCTACGTGCTGGTAGACATTGGAGAAAGGCAGCTGTTGTAGGTTGGTTGGTAAGCTTCTATTCCTATGAAATTCTGGCAAAACCCTTGGGTTATAAGCAAGATTCCTGTGTCAATCCAGCCTTTTTCTTTAAACAAATTGACAAGAGATCTAAAATTGAGGAATAAGAAACTGAAGATATGTTACTATTACAGTTACTCTGTTTCGTCTCACTTCCCTGGTTACAAATGGAAGCACAAGACTTCAATGTATCTACTAGTTCTAGACCCGTACTTGGAATTTATTCAAGTAACTCTTGAGTCTTGGCAACCTAGTACACGAATAGGCAATGATAAGAACTCAAGAGTAATCTAATAGATACATGCACTGAAGTAGGAAGTGCATTAACTTCAACAAATTATCCAAGTTAATATTTTTATCCTTGTTTCCTCGCATAACTGTATTCCGTAAAGTTCTAAAGATATGCCTAAGGCTTGTTGGTGCGTCTAAATTATTGTCTATATAGTTGTGATTGACTCCCAAATTCCATACTATTAAGTTTGAAAAATTGTAAGTCCGAGAATCAGCTCTAAGCAACAAATCAATGCAAGCTACTTGTTTTTTTGATACTTAATGTAATTCATAAAAGTTTTTAGCTTCCTTGAAGGAAAAAAAATCGTAAGTGTTTCTGGATAATTAGTACATTAGATTAAATAAAATGAGAAATGTTTATTTTTCATCACAGGATTAGCCTGTGCAAGTCCATCTTATATATTGTAAAGAATTTGGCACTAAAAGCGGTTTTCAGAAGTTTTATGTACATATCTTACAAGGACATTCCGAAACAGGTGTATGTACTACAAAAGTTTATGTAGGATTGGAACTTCTTTGTTGCTTGAAAGACTACAAAAGTTAAACGATTTGACTTCCTCTTGGATTGCATCAATCGCTCAAGTGAAGCAAAAAACGGAGGATTTCCCCAAGTTGGATCGCTCTGCTGTTACTCACTCGTGAAAATACTTTTAAGCTAAAAGCACTGTTTTTCTTATATTTACATCTTTCATTGTTTGATGTTTGGATATGAATAATGATGTCACATCATTAGTTCAACAAACTAAGTCATATTTTTTCGTCCCCATTAGCTTAATTCCTTGCAAATTGAATACATGTCTTTTGATTAGGATAAGGCCACAACCCATTGTACCTTATTTTATGCTTTGTTTGTAGATAGCATTCTTCAAACAGTTCTATGGATCAGTGACCGAGTCAGACTATGTGACCCTACGGTATGGTTTTGTACAGGTGAAGTTCCCGGCATATATAATAGCAATTAACAATTTCCTTTGTTATTTTATTCCCAATAGCAATGTTAAAAATGAATGTTTCAATCGTGCGTTTTGCTTTTTATTTAGGCTCATTATCCTCATCTTCATACATTTGATTTTCACAAGTATATGTTGCGGACTCTAGAAATTGATTTTCGAAAGATTATTGGCATAAGGTACAATTTAATGGCTGAACTATGTTTTGAAATAACTTTAATTCTTCATGCTAAACACTGTGAGTTGATTTTGAACTTCAGCGCATACTTATGGGTCTTTTTGGTGGTTTCTTTGCTGCTAAATGTCAACGGTACTTTCTTTTGCTCTCTGTGGAACACTCTTATTTATTTCATTACAGATTCCTAATTGTTCCTGTATATGGATCAATAAAATGCAGGATGGCACACTTATTTTTGGTTGGCCTTTTTACCCTTAGTGGTAAGTTCATTGTTTAGAAGTGTTTAAAAATTAGCATAAGTATCTGATTTGAGTGCAATGACAGCTTCTCCTTCTAGTGGGTGCTAAATTAGAGCACATTATTACCCGCTTGGCGAAAGAGGTTGCAGAGACAACGACAGGGGCAGTGAAACCTTCTGATGAACATTTCTGGTTTGGCCGACCGCGCATTGTTCTTTACTTGATTCACTTCATCATGTTTGAAAATTCGTTTGAGATTGCCTTCTTCTTTGGATCTGGGTAAGATCACAGGTTATTTTACCGAGTACATTTTCACAACTTCTGTACCATACAGGCAATGGCACTGATGTTAACTTGCTAATTTCAATTCAGACCACATATGGATTTCATTCATGCATCATGGACAAAGTGGACTACATCATCCCAAGGCTTATTGCAGGGTAAAGGCCAACCAAAATGCCCAATATGTTGCTTCTCATGCGAGTGTTTCTTACTTTCATCTAATCATTCTCACAACACAATTATGCAGGGTGATTGTTCAAGTGCTTTGCAGCTACAGCACCTTACCTTTATATGCTCTTGTGACACAGGTAAGATAGTCCAGATTGGTCGGTATGTCAAGTCCATGTGTTCTTTTATCACGTGTATTTAGAGAAACACTAAATCATAGTTACACTCACGGGGAACATCTTACTAGGGTGTGACTCGACCCCGCTTACCTGAACCCATAGGTTCCTTTGTAACAAGTTTGACATGCTTGTTTACTAATTGCTTCCTTCTTAAATGTAGATGGGTAGCATGTATGGAGAAGGCATCCTTAGTGAGTCTATGAGAAACGCAGTCAAGGATTGGGCTGTTGAAGTAAAGAAAAGAAAAAGGCAAAAGTGGTCATGGAAAAAGGCTTTCCGTATACCACAAAAATTATCGTTGACAAGAACGAAAAAGAATACATCTTTCATCACGAATTCAAGTGAGACCCATAATATGGCGAAAGAACGGTTTGAAAATGTTCATATCAAAGAGTACAGTACAACTGTTGATGAAGCAAATATGACGTCGGTAATTGAGATTTCTTGTGTCGACCAAAGTCAAGTCATCCCTTTGGATTGTCCATAAAAAGGCACTAGTTTGACCATTTGGTTTCATCCATGACATCTCTATAAATTCCCTAGTGCAAAAGTAATTTTTGTGGAATAACGATCTAAGATTGTGGATCTAAATTTGACTGCAGTCATTTTTCTGTTAACATCATAAAATGTTATGTTTGTATCATGTTCATCTTGTGTTAGAGGGAAGAATACGAAGCCTAAACAGGGCACTGTTTGTTATTTTTAAGGAATCATGATGGTATCTTTGTCATCACAATTACAATATTTTATGCCAATTTTATTTTCGAATCAAATCAACAGACTATACCTTGTATCTTTAACTGAAACTACCGAGCAAAGGTGAATCTTTTCAGTAGGCACCAAAAAAATACACACACACAGAGAATATGCAATCCAGGGAATCTATAAAGTATTATCTTCTTCATTTACCTAATTACCCCAAGAAAGGTAATTTCATATTTACAGATCATATTTCTTGTTTTTTTCATTCAGTAATGCTCTTCTTACCAGCTCTTTTCAACAGTTGCTGGGACACCACCACAACCATCAACTGATTAGTGGCAACGGTTCACATGGAATTCATGTAGAAAAGTTTGTAAGTGAAGTAGCATATTATTTTTTCATTTTTCAAGTTACAAAATATCAGGGAATACAATCCCCAACAAAACCTCAAATTATATACAACCACCTACCTAAACCACATACAGGCTATGACAAGGATGACGAAACACCCCGATGCTTGGGTCTTTCAAGCGGAAGCTTCTCCATCTCGCAGTTGCTATTGTCATGGGCAGAGCCTTCATCACCAGTCTTTGTTCTTTCAAGTTCTTTCAGTGTTCTCTTTGCATAAACAGTAAAAGCAATTGTGGTGATGATTGCAACAATAAAGGAGATAACATTGTAAATGATTTCCACTGTAGTCAGGTGATGGTTCCCATACTGGACATCTGCTAATGTCCTTATTAATCGACCACTGCAGACAAGAATGGAAAGAAAACGTAATGAGCACAAATATAAATTAGCGGCAATCAAAACAGAAAGATAACAAATCCTACATTCTACAGGAACTTGCGCAAATGATCTAATTTATGAGCATGAGGATTTTGGTGGAGACATGTTTGTGATCAACTACATAAATGGACAGACACACATCTTCAAAGAGGTGTTCCTTGTGGTTATTAAACTGACTGGAAAAGGCTTTTTATAGCTTTTTAATAAGAGAAAACTACCATAGCTTTAAAAATAATGTCTTAAAACTAGAGAAGGTTTAAAGAGTTAAATCATTTTTTGGGGGGAGGGGTGGAGAATAATTCGGAAAACTAACCTATAAATGTAGATGAAGGCTTCTGGAACCATTCCTGCAACTGATCCACATAAATAGGGCCAAAATGTCATACTT